AAACTGAGGTACGGAGAGATTACATCCATTTGGTGAAGATCACACGTCTAGTTAAGCAATAAAGCTGCATGTATGATGAAAGCTACCCAGTTGTATGGGAAGAAAAGTCTTACTCTTCCCATGTTTGGTTGACACCACTCAGGGTCATGGAATTAGCTGATTCGACCTATGTTTATCTCATCTCTAGCAAAACTGGCTTGTCCAGTGTACTCCGCTACTGTCTTTAATGTGGAAAGCGCTAATTTGGATTCACAGGCAGGCTCCAGATTCTATTTAGCAAACCAGTGTATACTAAGCGCCTCTAGTTTTACATCCCATGGCTTCCATTATGTGTCTGGAGACGAGGGTTTGCTTTTGTTTCATCTTTCATACTCTCGGGTAGGAGCCTCGTTATGGAGGTTAATTGATTTTCTTTTGGCAACCCAGTACTTTTGGTCACCAATACTATGCTAGTTATAAGGATTCAAGGCAGATACTGAAGCTCTCTTGTTTGGGGGAAATACTATACAGTATATTACCAAATCAGCAAATGTATCTACCACGTGTGTGTCTGTTTCAGTTACTTCAATAATGGACTGATGTACTACATCAGCCTGATTGATGAACCCAAACACAACTTTTAATAGGATGTCACTTCTGGTTTTATGACTGTCACTTTCCTTAATTGAAGTGCTAAACTAAAAAGTTCACAGACTTGAGTGCTGACCTCTTGCTGGATTGGTGTATGAAGAGCTGGAACATGCTGGAAAGATCACAGGGTTGACCCCCGGCAAGCATGGGACAACTCTGGTCTCTTAACCACTGGGAACTGGGAACTGCATCCCGATCTTCAAATTTCTCACTCATGAAGTGAGGGGGTTAGACTAAAGGGTTGTTAAAGTCACTTTCAAAGTTCGCCTGTGATTTGGGCTGTAGAGATGGCTCAGTGAGCAAGAGAAATTGATGCTGTACACGCTTGAAGACCAAGACATGGGTTCGGATCTTCTGGATCCCTTTGAAAGCTTAGGTATTGCTGTCTCTGTAACTGAAATTCCAGCACTACGCAGGGAGCAGACAGGAGGCTCTCTGGGGCTTGCTGGCCACCAACCTAATGGAAAAATGGCAAGTTCCAGGTTCAGTGAGAGACCCCGTTTCAAGGGAAGGTGGAGTGTGGTAGAACTGGACATACTCTGGGTATGTACATATATGGATATGGGCACCTGCATACACATGTGTGTATAAACCACACACACACACGTCCTATAATTCATGGAAAATGGATACCACGACTATCCCTATGGGCAAACTAGGATTCTAGTTTTGAACTATAACTGCATCCCTTATTTTTTTGAGTCTTTATGTGTTGTGTTCTGGGTGAGTTAGCCCTTTCCTGGCACGCCTACCTTAAAGGACTTTACTGGGGATCCAGAGAGACCCTGGGAACGTAAATGCTTTGGATAATAACACACTGAAAGATGTACTAAATAGTCATGACGTTCCTCCTGCGGAAGTTAGCTGAAAGGTGTTGGGTTTCTCCCCACCTAGCCATGCCACCCCTCCAGAAAAAGAGCCGAGTTAAAAAGAGAGTTTGATCCCGGACTTTATGGAACTCCTCGGAACTCTGCAGGGTCAATAGCAGCTTTGTCCTGCTGTGGGTCAGGTTCCCACCGTTGGGGTAGGGGAGCCATGCTCTTTCCACTGACATTTTATCAAACACACAGAATGTGGCAGTTCCTTAGACAAACATATGGTTTTGTGTTACAATAGCCTCTACTTTGTCAAAAGCCTCTCAGAATCAGAGATCTTCTCTGTGGGGCAGCAGACACTACACACACACACATGCACACGCACACACACACACACACACACACACACACGTACACGTGTCCCCAAGTTCACAGTCACCTTATATGTTTACTTGAATAACCCCCCCCCCCCCCCACACACACACCTGCCCAAGTTTGTGTGTCTCATGTCTGAGTCAGTCTCTCACTGAGGGTATTTTTAACTTCTCTTTACTCCTCGGAGTTCCTTTAAGGAAGTGTGATCCAAAAGGGTCAGGTACTTGGATTGTACTGAGGGGAAAACTTTGAAGAGAATTCCCGAGGCTCTGGAGTAGGTGGCTTTCCCCCCGAAGAACTGGCCCTACATGGTGTCTTTGCCACATAAGGGCTTGTGTGAGGCCCTAGGCACCAGTTGACGGCTGTCTTACCCGTGACAGATGGTCAAGACTTCAATTTCAGCAAGTGAGCTGCTGCCGAGGGGGAGGGCAGGGGACTCTGCCAGCGGGCCAAGTGGCAGGGCAGCTTAGGGTAACAGCGATCTGCTGTGTGCCCGGCATAGTTTTAAAGGCGATCTGGTGTGTGCCCGGTGTGGGTTTTGTGCTAACGACGAGCTGCTGACAGGCGCCCCGGCGCTCCTCATCTCTGAGGCACAGGATCCCTGGCTCCCTCGGTTCTCTCTCTCTCTCTCTCTCTCTCTCTCTCTCTCTCTCTCTCTCTCGCCAAGCCAGTGTCCTGTTTGCCTGTCTTTCAAAGCCCATTTTGGCACCAGATGGAACCCCTCACGGTGGCTAGCAGTTGTCTGACTTGAGGAAGCCAGAGGGTGTGCTGACAGCTCCTTCTAACACAACCTGAAACTGGCTGTCAGGCCTGGGCTCAAATGGCTTAAACACGTACAGGCGGCAAGTATTATCAACCATGGGGAGACAGGCAGGGGGGCCCACTGGGGGGAGAGTGGTGGTGATAACCCTCCCTAGCTTGGTGTTGCCTTGGGGGGCGGGGATAATGACCCTGTGGTTTCCCCTAGTAAAACCTTTGTTCTCACACAGCGTGATCGATTTCTCACCCGTGGGACAATGAATATTAACATCTTCACAGCACTCCCATCAGGACGGACACTAACTTAGTGTGCTGGCTCAGAGTCCTGCCTCTTGGACCACTCGATCAGAAGTTGAGTTTTAGGTCCATGTTTACTCACTTTTGGACAAGCAGTTGGATGTCTCAGATTCGGAGACAAATACAACTGCCACCTCCATCCTCCTGACCTGCGTTAGGATCGCACAACTACTTTGTATGGTCAGTGGTCTCATTATGCCCATTTTATGGATGAGAAAAGTTGAGGTCCGGCCTCTCATCCATAGGCACACGGGTAGTATGTGGCTAAGGTTTGGATGTCAATACCATACTGGGTATTTTTTTTTAAGGTAGTGGTTTTTATACTTTATGGCACCACACCATGGGCAACCACCCTCTCTGGATCCTGGGATAGTTTACATATATCCTCTTCTAAGTATAGAACCCAGCCCCCAGCAATATGAGGGACTCGTGACCACTACCTTTATACATCTGATAATGTCTGAAAGCCACATGTGCCGGTTGAGCCTCACCTTCTGAGGCGCAGAGGGACAGGGCAATGAAAACGCCCTGTTGAAGGAGGACTGAGTGGCTGAGTGGCTGGGCAGCTAATATGTGCCGGAGCGGAGCTGTTCCAGGCCTGGGGGAGGCCCAGGGTGGATTCCGTTACACACAGCTGGACCTCAGCAATGTTCTGTGAGTCATTCATCCCAGACAGAAGGTCAATAAGCTTTGGCCTTTGTGGAGAGGCCCTGGTGAACCATTATCAGAGGCCTCCTCGCTGACAGGCTCTGAGCGTTGTGTTTATGAAGGCTCGTGCATTGTAAAATCTTATCGTTTTGTTTGAAAAAGTCGTTGTTGCTCTTCAATGCTCCCATTTATTCCCCTTCCCCCTGGAAGACTCTACGAGGCCAGGGAGAAGAGATATTGTTCTGGAATCTGCCTGCAGAAGCTGTCTGTGTGCAGTGTGTCTTCGTGTAGTGCTTTGATGATAGAGGACCAAGGGGCTACACTGTTGACAGACATCATACTCGGAGCTAAATTCAGGTGGTGGCATCCTGGAATGCTGGTTTTGCATGAGTTATTTCTATTGGGTTGATGGTTTTATTCCGGTGTAGCTCGAAAGTAGGCCAAAAGGTGAAGAAAAGAGCATTTCTAGAATTTCATTGATTGACCTGTATTTTAGTCTTTTAGTACGCTCGGTCAAAACATCTATCTAGGCCCCCAAAGTCAAAAGTATGTAGCAATAGGTGGACATAAACATCTTCAATTTCTCCCAAATAGAAAACAGAAGGAGGGGTTGAATTGAGGGTAAGCAGCATGAATACCCTAGTACAAAACCCTCCATGCCTGCTGCCTTTCTGTGATGAACTCCAACAACTGCCTGCAGTTGTTACTTGGTGTGACCATGTCCTGTATCACACACGTCAGACATTTTTGAAAGTTAAAATAGATTCACCAACATCGGTGGGATTCCTCTAGTCAATTGGCGACTGTAGTCACCTTTGGACATAGAACCCATGGACCTCACTATAGAACTTATTCAGAAGCTAAGGTGGGCTGGGAGGCAGGAAAGCCCAAGCCCAATCTGAAATGGCTTTTGTTTAAGGCATTTAAACAAGCATCTAAAAAGAAGAAATGGTCTTGGGGTATTGGAGAAGTTTGCAAGGGTTTAATCATTGTGTGAACCCCACCACTCTTCCTAGGGCTGCTAATTTAAACATTTTATTTGGAGACGCTGAGATTTAAAGCATTTACCATCTCTTTGTATTTATCTAGTATACACTTTGCCATTCATCAACTGTGAATTCACAACACTTAAATGACAGGTTACGCTTGGGGACCATGGGAACTCTCAATTAGATCTATTTGGAACTTACGTTGAATTTCCATGATGATTTGCTCTCTGAATAAAACTACTCCCTCGAGGTTTACTTCTTTTGTGAGATCTGTTGGCAGTATCAAGAGTGTTCCCTTCAGAAAGAAAATCCACCTTGGATATGATATGATGACCCCAGGCCTTGAGCGCAATACGAATTCTAAAGCCACTCTGAATATTGCAGGAGACCAGTGAGGGAAAGAGAACGAGTAACCCAGAAGTGATTTCTGACTGAGACTCGCTTGTTAGGATTGAAACGCTAACCATGCTCATTTGTTTCTTCACAGATTCTTCCTGAAGTTTTTCCTTAAATGCAACCAAAATTGCCTAAAGAATGCAGGAAACCCACGTGACATGCGGAGATTCCAGGTGGGTCCCCTCTTGCTTTTCTTAAATCTTAATAACGGTTTGAATGTGAAGAGATGATGGGAACACATTTTTGGCAAGAGACACGGAGTATAATTGTTTCTCTGGAGGTGAAGAGCAGGTGAGGCCCCTGGTCCCCAGGCATCTGCAATCTAGGAGTTGTTTTTGTTAGACGAGAATTGGGGCTGCGCCACCTGCGCCCGCTGATGAAGGCAGCTGTGTCCTCAGAGCCTCATTTTGGCTTCCTGTATGGGCTCACGTGACGAGACAGCCAGAGATTAAGACAATTATGCAGAAACGATGGGCTTTAGTCTCTAAAATTGTTCTAAGGAGAACTTCACCGGATAGCGAGTGAGGAGCCAAACCAGGAAGTTCAATTTTGTCGTCTGTTGTCCTCTCTCATAATCTCAGCAGCTGTTAGCACCAACCGCCGATTGGAAGTGGGGCCCTTAAGAAGCAGAACATGCCTGTACCCTCTGTTCGGCTTCAGGGATGCCCCTGTACCCCACATGTATGTATTACCGAAGATCTTCCGGTCGGCCACCACCTAAAACGTACGAACCTGATAGGATCATATATATGTTAGAAGGGCTGAAAACCTAAAAAAGAATGGGTTGACTTCTCAAACACAGGTGTTTTAGGAATTCTAGACATAATACGCCTGCAGTTTCACATGCTGAGAATCCCTTAGGACCTTGTTACAGTACTGATTGAGATGGGGGGCGGGGGCTGGGAGTCTAGGTTTCTAACAAGCTCCCAGGTGGTGTAGAACCATGGCACACAGCTCAGGCAGTAAAGTTAAGCCCCTTCCTTGTCTCGCTCTCCAGCTCATTGTCTGGCTAAGTTATTTCCCGTGTCAACGTTGAAGCATGCTTGCACAACCTGTCAGAGAGACAGCTTGGTGTTGAAAGTTTGCTCCTACGCCTGTTTAGTCAGCTCAAAGTGCAGCTTTCAGTGTCTGAGCTCCAAGAGGTGCTTGATAAATTTTGGCTGCACATTCTCTAAGGAGAAATAAGGAAAGAGATTTGAGCATTGACTGTGGATGTCAATATCAAGGAGTCTTCAAAATGATATTTTTTTTTTAAAAAAAGAAGTAAGCTTTATTAGTCTTGTTAAAGAACAAATCCATTGGAAGGATGGTATTGTCTCCAGAGATCTTAGAGAATTTATATAACATCATTTTAGCCTTACCACTTTTTGTCTTAATAGAGAGGAATTGGGAGAATCCAATAAAATCTTAATTTTTTAGGAACTGTTTCCTGGCAAGGTCCTGCCTTCAAATTTGGATGCTCCTCTTTTTTTTTCAAAGTGTCTTGCAGCGTGTGTGAGTGGGTTTTTAGCACATGCTATCTGATAGCTTGCTGTGGTTCTTCAGATGACCTCTATATCTGTTTGGGCCAAGCTTGGGTTAGGAACAAAGACACGTAGGCATGAACCATTTTATGTGTAATAACCAAGCTTCCTGACTTGGCCAGCATCAACTACACTATATCCCTCAGCGCAATAGAATTGGGATGGACTTTGGTGACATTGAGGACCTCAAAGAACATTTATATATGGTTTTACAGGACTTGCTCATGAGTTGTGGCTTTTAGAAATACAGGCAAGACAGGAAGTCATTTCAGTACATTCCTTTTAAGCATAGGAAAAAAGGCCACAATTTACTTATGCAGTAGTATAGACATAATAAATTTAAACTTTCAGGGAAACTTCTTGTGATGAGTTTAATTAAGCCCTTAGTTTAGTCTAGGTCTTCTCAACTTGGGCACAATGAATCTTTTAGACTGGTGGATAACTGTGTGTGTGTGTGTGTGTGTGTGTGTGTGTGTGCATACACACACGCATTGTAGGATGCTCAGGTTGTATCACAGGTCTCTGTACACATGAAATAGCAATAGAAGAGTCAGTTTCCCTTAGCATGGACACTGAAGAGTCTCCAGGGTAGGGAGGAGAGAGATAGATGGCCCCTGATAGAAAGCCACTAATTCTGACCTACACTTGATAACTTTTGACTAGGTTTGCAGGGACAATATTAGTGCAATGGAAACAGCATCCTTTGGTTATTCATGGTTGCCTTCTTACCCAAGGGTCCATATGGACTTTCCAAAACACTTCAAGTTGATGTGATTTAGCCCTTTTACCTGTTGTCACCCAAAGAGATTCTAAAATAGAACTTTCACAAAAGGAATAGCTAGCGTGGCCACCAAGAGTCAAACCCTGAGTTAAAAGAAGCTGTGTCTTTGTCAGTCAGCTTACTGTGTTCCCATCAGCTACACTTTGAGCAGCAGTGAGAGCTGTGGAGTGAAGGTCCCTGAAACCTGGTACCCAGGTTCAGTTTAACTGTCCAGGTGCTTGACTGAACCCTAAGCCCCCAAACCACACACTGCATTCCTTACCCCCTCATCTGTTTTATTCTCTCCTTGTCAAAGTGGCTTCTCCTTTTTCTTTCCTGCAGTTGTTTATTTCTAGCAAACTTCATCCAGTCCCAAGTAGATGACTATTTATTATAATGTCTATGTTCGGTGAATTCCATGTTCCTATGTATAGTTGCTATGTCTGTGTATCTGCCTTTATATACATCCGTGGGCATTGGTGTTGCAGATGCTGATGCTGGTGGTGAAGCTGACATTTACTGTGTGCTTTTCTCATGAGAGGTATTCTATGAAGCGTTTTACATGAATGATAGTGATTGTCATAGTATCCCTATTAAAAACATGCAAATATGATTTATTTCAGTTTTACCAATGAGGAAGTAAGCTTAGAGTAGTAAAGAAATTCACTCAAAATTACACATCTATCTAGTGAAGGTTCAAGTCCAACCCTGTGACTTGTATACTATTACTATCTGATGCTTTGGGACAACAAAGAACTCCTCTAGGGTCTGTTGGGAGGCACTTAGTGAGGCAACAACAAATTCTGTTATCATTCAAAATGCACAGTGGTATTCCAGGAGTAAATGCTTGAATCACAGGATAGTTTGAAAGACTTCCCAAAGAGACTTCATGCATGAAGTTGAAACCCCCAACCCCAAGTTCGTCAGATTGGGGGACTTCCCTGGAAGGAAAGAACAGTGTTTTAGAAGGTGAGCTACACCCCTGAGTAGTTTCTACTTGTGGGAAAATTTGGAAATGCCGCAGTGAGTGTAACTCTCTCTACCAGTGGTAACTTGGACTCTCTTAAGAAATCACACTGAAGGTGCCAAGTCTTAGGACACAAGAGAGAAGGCCGGGGGAGTGTGTGTGCACTCACTCCTGACATTGACACCTCCTTAGAAACAAGGGACAGTTCCATCTTTTGTATTCATAGCACAGAAATTGAGACTCTGGTTTCATGTACTTTTCATGTCCCTATTGTCCAGGAGAAGGACTGAGAAAGTATCTTTTTTTGGTGAAGACAAAATGTGATCCACTCATTGTATATCAGTAATATTGAAAGGTTAAGTTCCAGAAAGTGCTGATGGATTCACCCTTCACGGTGTATGAGATGAGTCTCATCAGCTGCCCCTGCCGAGGCTTCTCTTTTGCTCTTTTGTATATTTCCCTGGTCAGCCCCCTCTTCATACAGCCAAGCCAGCGTATGTCTCCTCAGAAGAGCAATCAGGGACCTGTGTAGGTGGCTGAGGAGGACATACACGAAAGGTTGTTGATCTCTTGATGCGTAAAGACATTCTGTCAAGCAGACTCAGCCTCTGAGCGGCTGGGCTTCTGGTGTGTAAACAGAGACTTCTTAATTACACAGGTCATGTCAATTAGTGTGACCTGAGTGTTCTCAAAAAATTAATCACTTTCTGAAAAGCTTAGGCAGTGTGGCATAAGCCTTGAGAGAATCTGGTACAATTCTCTCTCTTTTTTTTTCTTTTTTGAATAATGGATGTTTTCTTTCTGGAACCCCTCGGCTGTGGTTAAGGTAGCATATTTGCTTCAATACAAGAGTGGATACAGGCTTCATTTAGTGGTGGTGGGTATTGGGGAAGGGGGAAGGAGAGGGGGGCAAATTGGGGCTAGAAGCAGCCTATGACACAGGGAGCAATTCAGTCTGACTAAATGAGCCCATTTCTCTCTCTTGACACTAAAAAGATGCTAATGTTAAGGGACCACGTTAAAGCCATGTCACAGGCTGGTTTTTAACTGACAGGAGCCAGGCAATTTAAGGTTAAGATTTAAATTGTTAGCCACCCTTTTCCTTGTTGGGACTGGCAGATGAGAGTAGCGAAGGAGGAGCAAGAACTGGGCAAAAGTTGTCATCTTAGTAGAAACCGTAAGACCCGGAGACTGAAGGAACATATAAATTTACAAATTCATCTTCTTCCCTAGGCAAAGTTTTCTGATAAGCTATAACTCTGCATCTGTATATAAATGCCAGGTCTGTGACAACAGTACATATGAATATAGATGCGAGATATATTCTCTCATTCATGTGTGCAAGAGCTCAGCAGTATTTATCAGAGGGCTCGGTGGTAAGTCAATAATGTCGAATGCAAACGACAGAATCTCTGCTGTAGTGAAACTGATATTTCAGTTGGGGGTTATTTTAGGGCAAGGGTAGCTGCTGTAACACATAGACCAAATAGTACCTAATGGCTCACATATAGAGCAAAGAAAATCTAATGGTGCACATACAATACATACAAGTTAGTATTCCTGCCTTGAAGAATAGACTTTTTTTTCCCCCTTGAAATGATCTGGAAACCTGGCAACTCTTGATTTTATGTCCTTTCAATTACAAAGAGCCCTACTGTATTCATGGAGCGAGGTGAAAAGTGAAGGATACATGTCTTCAAATTCTTGGCTTAGAAATAGTCCTTGTTAAACTTGCTCACTTCCTATTGGCTAGTGGCCAATCACATAGCTACTATAGCCACAGGGAAGTGTGCCAAAAATGAGGAATGAGATGGTCCAGGAAGGAGAGAAAGTACATGTATAAGGAATGAGTCTCCATCAGCTGTCACGATGAAGATATGCAAAGATTAACCATTGAAAATAATTGGAAATTGTGGTTATTTA